GATGTGCATTTAACATAGATAAAACTAACCTCAAGCGCATATTCTGTCTTTGAGACTGTAACCTCGAGTCTGCAGAGCCAAAATGATCTAAATCGCTATGAGCCTGAACAGAAAAATGTTTATTTAATGGTTATTGATGGGCATTTGTTTGCTCTGTGTGTAGACTAGAAAGCGATCAGTGAGTTGTTTATGTGCGGTTCGCTACATAATGTTACAGCAGCTGCCAAGATATAACAATGACATTAAATCCAATCAATCTTTAGACATAGTGTTCATGTGATTGATGTACATGTTTCTGGTATATTGTAACCGTCTATTTAATAATATTTTGAACCTTATGACCTTTAACTTCTTGAATTTCATAAAATATATGGGTTCAACAAGGATAAATTGGTTAGTTTATTTATTTATAAAACAGTTTATTAATGTATATATTAATATAATAAATGAATTTGACTGATATTTATGAGTTTAAAAACAACGGTTTGCAAGAAAAATGTTTTTTACTTCGGATTTCATTATTAAAACAATCGAATTAATTAAAAAATAATATTCAGAGAAAAAAGAAAATAACGCTAGAAAGCAACTGACATGCCTTGACCGTGTTTAAAGAATCAAAAGTGATATGTGATTGAAAGTAATAACAAACTGGCATTCACATAACTGGAAAACTACACAAAATACTGAAAAACAACATAGAACAGAGCAGGCAAAATATCGAGAAGCAATACCAGATCATACCAGTGACCTATTCAATCAGTTGATTTTTGAAAGAAAACAGTCAAAATTATAAACTGTTAATTATAGATGCACGAAAATTATATCTATTGTTACTTAAGTATATTATTGTAAACATCTTTTGTTATGAATTTACAGCATAAATTTATCGTAGACGATTGCTCGTTGTTACGAGAACTCATTTATTGTCTCGTGATCAACGTTCGCGTTGTCTAGTGTTGATAGACCGATTTATCAATTTAATTGTGAACTACACATGCGTTGACGACGGCTGGTTCCGAATATCTGGCGCTATCCATCCAGCGGGTTTTATTTTCAATTTTATTTGTGTCGCGCTATTTCGGAACAGAACGTGCGGCACTTGTCTATTACATGGCGGTGTATGTGATGGCCTACGCGTGCCAGGAGTTATTCGCGTTGGTAAATATGTTTCTAGATGTTCATATAAAATCTGCATAGTTTAAGTAATTTCGTTAGAAAGAATAAACGGAACCGAGACAATTTCAAAATAATTAAACTGTGATTTACATCCTTATTGACGACGCAGTGTAAACAAATAAATACATTGAATAATAGCAAGAATAGATATCAATAAATCTTGTATGAAGATGTAATAATTGTCCTATGGAAGTAGTCATAAAAACTTTATAACTATCTGAGTATACAAGAGACAGGAGAGACAATCGTCTGCTACCTAAAGGATCATTAAGAAAAACTTTTATTAAATACATATTTGGATGGTCCTTTGACTTAGATCAAAGTTGTTTGGAGCCGTAAAATTGGAAATGCTGACTCAATATGAAGTAGGAATGTAATTCAAAAGATAAGAAGATATAATAATCATTCTAAAATGTTAAAAAACTATGTTTTTTATTTGACGCAAAAATATACTTACATAGTTAATCATTGTCGTTGTAAAGGTTAAAAAGAATAATGTCATACGAACTGTAAATACTACTTAATAACTGTTAATTAAATTGGACAAGTACATATGTCGATATTGACAAGAAGAGTAAATGGTGTAGAAGCAGACGCCAACTTTATCCCACGTGCCAAATATTGTCGGACATCCTACGTATGAGCATGTTTGCAACGTCATGCAGGAGGAAGCTACTGCGCACTATACTTTTTGCGACGAAGCATTTATATACATTGAGAACAAACTAAATACAGATTTGCGTAATCCTCCACATTTCCAGTTATTTTAGATTTTACGTTGTTGGCACCCAAAGCTGGTAGAAGAAATGTGATTAAAATCGCACATTATAAATTAGAGATAGATTTTGCGTCTCTTACATATGTCGTCATGCGACATGTCTCAGTTGTAGTAATATTTTTGTTTATAAGTTTTATATCGTGATACAAAGTTCGTAGTTTTCGTCGATTGTCGCAATAATCCTGAAATATCATTAGGTCACTATCTGAATCATATCTAATATAATAAGAGAGACTGTTTCAGAAAAACATTGCAGAATCAGTTCCAATATCTACAAATAACTTTAGCAAATAACATTAATAATTTATTATGATGGCTCTGACAATCTGAGGGATATAAAGGCATACCAGTGACAACGTATGTGAGATACGGTACTACATTATGTGTTATGATAACAATGATATCGCTTATATTATATTATTATATTTTAGGTGGATTATTTGACAAGTAACCAGCTTATTTGATAGTAATCATGATAGGTGCAATAAAAATACTATAAGAATTTTTTTATTGTCTTCCTATAAATTAAACTGTATAAATGTACACTTTTTTGACGTATTTGAGAACAAATTTTTGAAATTTTACCGCTAAATCAAATATGATTTGCAAAGATGAATTTATTTTCAATCAAACAGAAGTATTTTTAATTCTGGAATGGATGACTTTCGAGTAAATCTGTAAGAAAGTAATTTTGGTATACAGAGATATAGTTATGCTACTTGTCCTTATGTGCATGACAATGAAACATTGGTAACACTATAAAAAAAGAAATGAAGAAATTGGTGTAAAAGGACTGTATACCAAGCACCAGACCCGGAAGTCGGAACACCTATATTATAATCGGATATGACTATCCTATACTAAAGTTGTCAGCGCAGCGTAGTCATACCAAAATATCATGTCTATTTTAGTTTTGAAGAACAAAATCGTTATATTGTGATCTCATGAGTGAAGAGAGAAAACAAAACCCACACTTATTTAATGAAGTTTATCAAGTAGGCGATTAACGTTTTGGATCGGATTATGAAGTAGGGACATAATATCGCTATATTGACTGAAAGATAAAGAATAATTTGACATATTTTGAAACATTTAAGTACTAGCTTTTGCCTACAACTTCGTATGCGTGTATTTTGGAACCATTTTTCAATGGCGTATCAAGATAAAACGTACATCAGATTTTAAGTTACATTTTAAAAATATATCTGTAAAAACATTATTTAATAGTATGCAGTACTTTTTGAGTGATATCAGAACAAACAAGCATACGAACAAATAAAATTTTAAGACTTTTTGTTTTGGCTCCTATTGTCACAATTTTATTATAATATTGACTAGTTACAATTTTATTATAATAGTAAAATTAATAAGATGCTTTATATCGTAAAGATTTAAATGGAGTTGAAAGTTTAATAGGTAGAGAAGTTGCTAATAAGAAATCTCATCGAGCTTGGAGAAATATAACTTTTCTTTGACCTCGTGCTTTCTGTTGCCAATTATTTAAACGATTCAAAGACTTTTCTTTCGACCTAAATACTTTGTTACGGTATTAATAGATTTTAATGGGTGGGTGTTTAGCATATGATTATCCCAAATTCAGTTTGCTGCATTGCAGTGTTTATACTTCAATTTTAATAGAAACTTATTAGCCCTAAATGAGATGGGTATCATAAGGATTATAATTTTTAGCCAACTTCAAAAAGAAGGAGGTTCTCAATTCGATTGTATTTTTTTTGTTTGTTGCCTCATAACTCCGTCAGTTCTAAACTAATTTAGAAAACTCTTTTTTTGGCTAAAATAAATACTTACTTACAGATATACTTACAGATTGGCCCATAGAAATTTTATAGTTTAATATTTTAATTTTTAGATCATAACAACTGGTTTTACAAAAAAAAAGTTATTTTTGTAAAACGCATATAAGTTTTAATCGATCTTGAAATGATACTAAACTAAGATACCTACAGCTTCTGCTAAGCATTACTGGGATAAAAATTGGTCAAACATCCAAATAGTGGTAACAAAGTTTATCTGATTTATCTATACATTAAGATATTTTTGTAATAGCTGATACTACCTATATGTTATGATACTATAGCCGTAAATTTTCTCATTTATAATATTAGTAAAATAAAAAGTAAATAAAAGTAATAATATTAGTTAAATAACACTATTTTTTTTTATTTAACTTAGAATGGCAAACAAGCTGATGACCCACCTGGTGGGAAGTGGTAACCGTTGCCTATAGACATGAGTAGTACCATGGACATAACAGAGTATACTGTATCGCCCATGATACCCCCTATGCGTTGCCATTCCTGAGGTCTTTGGTGTTATTCCTCTATACACTGTAAATTCACTGCCATATCCCCCTTTTCAAACCGAAACACAACCATGCAAACACGACTGTTTCACGGTAGAAACACGAATGGGACAGAGGTGTCCAAGCAAACGTTTTTTGTACAAAGTCTAATAGTAATTTCATATGTGAGTTTGTAGTAGTAGTAGGCGATAGTCACTTACCATCAGGTGAGCTGCATGCTCGTTTGCTCCCAGTGTTGTAAAAAGAGACCTCTTCGTACCTTAATGGTATCACCAAACGTTATAAAATTTCATATACATAGTATATGGGATGTAGAATATATAAGATTTCGGCTAATTTTTATCTCTATCAATATATTCCGGGCACGCAGACGAAGTATCGGATAAAAACTAGTATTTGATTCGATATTTTTATTTTTCTACTGTTCCGCCTGGACCAGACACAACTTTAATTATTCCTCTCCCTTTTAAAGTTGCCTGGAAGAGATCGCTATTTGGCCATAAGGCCGCCCATTGTTGCCTCTTTATCTTACTTTTATGTAATTAAGTATTTGTAATTAAGATAATATTTTACGTGTACATATTTGTTAATCTTTATAATGTATATAATTTCTTAAAGGGTTTTTATTCATTCATAAAGTTAGGCTTATATATAGTAAATTATATATGAGACTGATTTGTTATTAAATTATCTTTATAAATATTTGTCGTTTCTTTTCCGCAGATCGAGCATGGGTAACGTTAGCTACAAACGATTCCTACGGTTTGGGCGCCTTGGTGTTGGCGCATTCACTGCGTCGCGCCGGCTCAGTGTACCCAAGTGTGGTACTCATCACACCCTCTGTCACCGAGCCGATGAGGTAATCTAAAGCCTATACCTTTACTTAAATTTATTATGGGAACAATAAATGTTGCTTATAAAAGTAAAGCGGTTACATATAGGTACATCTTGCTCTGCAAATTAAAAACACGAGTAAATATTAAAAAATAAAGGCTTAACGCCACAGGAATTTACACTTAATCCATCCACTGTAAGTACACATTGTCTCGAGTTTAATAAATCCTATTTATTCTTCTGGTTCAATTATATTCTATAAAGGAATATCTAATTCTTAATATTTTCACACTTGGCATTGGTCTAGAACCATATTTGGAAACAAACAATATTTTTTTAGAAATAGACGGAGACAAATTTGTATGACTTTTATAACAGACTAGCGACCCGTCCCGGCTTTGCACGGATGCACATTACATCACATCACATTAGAAATCTCTAAAGTTATCAGTGTTTCTCTATTATATTATGCATGTATTATTCATATAAACCTTCCTCTTGAAACACTGTATCTATTAAAAAAAACGAATCAAAATCCATTGCGTAGTTTTAAAGATCTAAGCATACATAGGGATGGACAGACAGCGACAGCGACTTTGTTTTATACTATGTAGTAATAACCATCAACAATAAAAAAATGCTATCTCACTTTAATATGTGGTATTGTCTGACAAATAGAATCCAGCTTAAACAATCTGCCAAAAACGAACAGTTTTCAAAAAATGTATAGACCCTGGAAAGTTACACAATTTTTTTGCACTGTCCTGTAAACAGTGCAGAAAAACCATGACATCTTGAGAAAATCTATATTTTTTATGCAAATTAAAGTGGCAAATAAACTAACAATCCATTTCATGCAAAATGGAGACCGTCGCGTATCTATTGACATGATCAGCATCATAGATTTCACAGAATACCTATACTGTGACGCTCATATCACTGCCATCTCTAAGGATGAAATCTCTGTATTTTATATATTTGCATATTAAGGTTTATATATGTATATTGAAGTTTCTTCAGGGTCGACAACGCGTACGTGACACCCCTGGTGTTACAGGCGTCCACAGGTTACAGTGACCATTTACTATCAGACGGACTGTATGCTTGTTTGCCACCTTTGTGGTACAAAAAAAAAATTCGATGCCATGTTCCAACCCTTCATATCGGAACTCAACTATGCTAAGATCGCTGTTTCATGGTAGAAATATTATTTCTAGTAATAAGCCTTGGCAGGACATACTCCATACTGTCGTCCTTGATACTCGCCAGTAGCGTAGGTGGGGTTATAAATTCACTTCCGTCCCATAAAAGAAAGTTTGTTGTATTTTAATTTATATCCAGTGACGCAATTGGTGTGATTGTCTGGCGCCTACTTCTGCTATTATTATCTGTTATTGCTCTTAAGATAATGTACAAAATTTTGATAATCTAAAAATAAACTTAATATAGTGAGGTAACTCCGTACGTAGACGTGTGTTATTGTTTAGATAAAACAGCATCAATGATTCATGATGCCCTTGCCCTTATCTTACTAGTATTATTTAGGGTCAACGTATTACGTGTTTCCTGTCCCTTTAGACGAGTGGCAATCATTCGACTCTATATATACGAGTGGGTAGATATTGCGCACATTTGAAAGAAAAGTCTTTAAACGCTGCCGTCTCATTTTATCTCACGCACATGACGGTGAAAACGTATCTGTCGATAGATTTGTTTGCTGTTTGTCTGGGGGGGGGGGGGCTGAATCTTTCCTGTGACGTAGTATATAAATGACTTTGCTGAAAAGCGTGTTAGTTCGACGTCATTTCTATATTCATTCCTCTCACACTCATCGCGAAAATATACACATATGTATATACCAAATTTCATAGTGATTGGTTAAGCCGTTATGGCGCGAATAGGTAACAAACAAACAAACTCACTCTCACATTTATAATATTACTAAGGATATATAGTACCTACGGTATATTTAATTACCGCAGTTTTTTTTGATGGGTGAAAATGGTATGGTAACCCCGCCTGCGCTAACGGGATACGCTGCTGGAGCACCAGTGAAGGGTGATGATGAGAATGAAAACAGGCCAGTTAGCCCATCATGATGAATTTATCAGGAATTTACCATGGTAGTTTCCAGGGGGAACCGTGAGGAGGTCGATCTGGTGGGGTATATATGGGGATCTGATGGGGGCTAGCAATGGGATTCTCAGTCTCCATTACTAACAATCCCTTTCCCCCAATATCGCAGAGTTAGTAATTTAAACGGAAACAAAGAACTAACGACTTTTACGCTCCCAATAATTTCTCTTTGTTATTTCGTTATTTAAATCGGGACAGAGGTCGATCAGATCTCTATGTAATCACCAGTGGAAACCATCGTAGTTAATTCTTACTGAATTCATCATGGGCCAAGTGACCTGTCTGGGGGGAAAGGGATTGTTTGTGATGTGGTCTAACTGATCCATTGCCAATAATACACCTTATCAGGTCCTCCACGCGGTTCCCCCTGGAAAACATTCTAGTATAATATGTTACGATGGGTTAACTGACCTGCTTTCATTGCCACCTATCTTCTCTTACTGGTGTCCTACCAGCATATAGCGATAGTGCAGGCGGGGTTACACTTCCATTATCACTCATTTTAAAAAAAACCGACCTGTCTTCAGCCTCACCTATCATCCCTCACTATTATTCCGTCAGTTTACAAATACTTGTACTAAATGTACGGACGGTGTTTCCATTATCATCTCTTATATTTTCTTACCCTTGATTCTAGGTAGTTACTGTAAAGTTAATTTATCATAATGTTTTCTATTCGCAGGGATCGGCTCCGCGCAGTATTTGCTGAAGTAGTTATAGTGGACGTACTGGACTCTCGCGATGCAGCTCATCTCGCTTTATTGCAGCGTCCCGAGCTTGGCATTACTTTCACAAAAATTCATTGCTGGGGCCTGACACAGTATGAGAAATGTGTGTTCCTCGATGCTGATACACTGGTAAGTTGAGTTATGAATCATTATGAAATTTTGTATACACGTACTGTATGAAGTGAAGAAGGTTATAAGCTACTTTATATACCAGTCAGTAAAAATATTCCGATCATGCAGACGAAGTCGCGGGTAAAAACTAGTAAGAAAAATTTCTTATGCATGTATTATGATTAGTATAAGTTACATGTAAACTATGATCTGGAACGTCAACTTGTAAATGTAGTAGGTAAAGAAATCTATAGATATCCTTTGTTCTCAGAATACTCGTAAGTAGATACGTATTGCCTACAGATAATGTCCCCATATATATTTAGGTGCTTACTCATTTTTCAGGAATACACAATCAATCAGCAGTCGAGTAAGTTCGTATTAAATTTCACCAATAAACATCAAATATGTAGTATACTCTGTGTGTTATAGTATGTCATATTTAATGGGTGAAAATGGAATGGTAACCCCGCCCGCGCTATCAGTACATACCGACGAGGCACCAGTGGAAGATGATAGATGAGAATGAACGCAGGTCAGCTGGCCCACCATGATGAATTCGACAAATATTGAACATGATGGTTTCCAGGGGGAACCGCGTGGAGGTCGATCTGAGAGGGTATATTGCTAGTAATAGGGCTATTAGACCCCATTACTAACAATCCCTTCCTGCCTCCCGTTATAGTATGTTGCAGGTGATAGATCATTAAAACTATGTAAAATTCAAATATGAGAAAATATATAGGTTATATTTTTAGATAGTTATATTACAGTAAAAATTGCCAAAATATCATCATAGCATATCTTCATTTGAAAGACTCCAAAAAATATATATATAGTTTTAGACTTGTTCGTGTAAGTTTATTTAGACTCGTTCCTGCGTGTTTCTGTGATGAATATTATAAAATTCTTGGCTCGACAACAACCCATATAAATCACTGTTTTGTTTGGCATTACACTTAGAATGCTTTAATTTTGGTCTATAAAATATTACATACAGCAATAAAGTCGAAACCTAAAAAACTACAAGCAATATAGCGATGTTTGCCAATAAACTGATGATCTAAGGATCTCATCTATCGATCGATTGATCGTGAGTTCCACTTTAGATTTTTATGTTCCATTATGTATGCATTATCAAATAATGACTTGTGGTCTAAAGATAAGTAATCGTAAAAATAAAATATATACTATTAGTAGGATGATATCTGAAGACCTACCATGAAATATCTGCTGAAATTTCGCCCCCGAATTAATCACAAATTTCATATTAAAATAATATAATACATACTGTTTAAAAATATTAAAATATCGTTTCTATGGTCTTTTATGGTTGGATTTATGATGAACAAAATGTTAAGTTCCATTGACTGTACCGATTTCAGTATGAACAAAAACATGAATTTCAGTCCAAAAATTCCCTTAGTATGAGTGAGATATGAACACAACTAAAGAAACATTAAGCGGAAGAGTTTATTTGTTCGAACGAGTTTATATCTGAAACTATCAGTCGTATTTAAAAAAAATATTTTTGCATTTCATAAGTTATTTCTAGAGAAAGTTTATAGGCTAAGCCAGGTGGCTTAAACAACCACATGAGAAGCGCGGGGTATAGCCTGTAGAGAAATATAGACAAACGGAGAAGATTTTAATCGCTTAAACAAATATAAATAATTAAAGATTTTAACAGACTATAAGGTATCTGTTCAACACCTGTACACACTCAATTTTCAGTGAAACAACTCGTGAAAGTTGTAAAGCTATATCGGTCTCCAATTGTTTATGCGATAAGAAAGTCAATGTTACCGGATGTGGACGTTAGCGCAGTAACCCGAGATGATGAGACATAACCGTGGCCTAAATATTTCTTCCCGACAATTTTGGAACTGCTCCAAAATCTACTTTCATATTGTACCTAGTATTTTTTCCCACGCCACAGGCCAGCGTTACGGCGCAATGCACGGAATACAAGTGATGTTTATAAAGAAGTATGTTACATAATGTAAATGATTGACGAATTTAATCTTTACTATCCTTAAGTTAATATATAAGTGTGAAAGTATGTTTGTTTGTTTGTTAACCAGTTATTATGAAATTTATTATACATGTATATGAATGTATGGGATGGAGAAGAACATAGGCTACTTTTTATCCCAGTAGGTGAACATATCCTATCAGACGAATGAAGTCGCAGATAAAAGCTAGTTTACTATGTTCAGTCGTACCGCGTCATAAACAACGGACTAGACCACTCCCGATAGAGTTCATTGAGTTGTTATTTATCGCCGGTTATTATGTTAACTGAAACATTATCCAATGTCCTGATAAAGAGTGCTGATAAGTTTAGTTCTTTTAACTCAGTGTAGTGACGTGCAACATGTTATAGATAACTGTATTTAACTGCATTGCTATAATATGTTTTTTTTACAAGTTTTCTACATTACTGTGACCTATGAATAGTGAACATATCTCTTTCTTCTCATTGAACATCCAATCGTGGAACTATAAATAATTGTCATTCCTCAATGTACACGTCAGTTAAATTAGTGCCAGTATATACATAGTAAGATACCTATAGTAAAATATTAAGGAACGCCCCTCGAAAATTCAAAATATTTTAAAATGTGGGAATAAAAATATTTACAAGGTTTCGACCACGGAATACAATATTCCTCTTGTCGAACCACTATTGATGATCACACATATTGAGGTAAAAAGTTGGAGGGGCGTGCTTGTTAACGTAAACAATCTATACCTAGTTAGTTGGCGAATACCCTATCATTATAGAATATCCTTGTGCTTTCTTTTGAACAGTGGTCTCTACACAAAGAATAAGGTGCTTTTTTAGAAACAGTTAATTCGACAGAATAGTTTTTAATAGCTACGGCGTGAATGAGTTTCTAAATTTAAAAATATTGAATTGTATCTATATCCTTGAAAATTGTTTTGAATGTTATTGCCATGTAAAGATTTTTAGAAAAAAGTTGCGAAAAAAGATCTTGAAACGGTTGCTTTAAGCATTTTTAGCAATACGACCATTTTGTTGAACTTACGTGTTTTATCTAATTCGAATGTATATAAACAATAAAACATATTCTATTTATCCACTAGTCATAGTAAGAGCTACTTATATTGATATTCTATCTTCAAAAAAATTTTAATCCTTCATTATCTGCAACACAGATCGTTCAAAACTGCGACGAGCTATTCGAGCGTGAGGAACTGTCCGCGGCGCCAGACGTAGGCTGGCCTGACTGCTTCAACTCCGGCGTGTTTGTATACAAACCCTCCGCTGAGACCTTCGAACAGCTAATCAAGTTCGCCCAGGAACGTGGTAGTTTTGATGGTGAGAATTGATCCCTCATGTAAAAATGTTGCAAGGAGTTCTAGTTCACTTAGAGTTCTACTTATGGATAAATTTTATCTAACATGAGACCTCATTGTCGGTACAGTATCTGCTTTAGTGCAGTTCGTATCGGAAGAAGATGAACATGGATTTACAAAACACATAGCCGTTACGTAGTTGAACAAAGTTAATGATAGAATTGGATAAATATAATATAAGGACAATATTAATTTAATATATAAATATTTACATAAGTTAGCATAAGTTCACTACGGAATATAGTGATTTTGAAAATTTCAATGTGGTCATCGATTTTTGATACCATATAAAATTTAATATCGTAAGAAGTTCTACATTCAAAGAAATTTTATATACTTATTAGAATACTCATTTAAGAATTCAAAAACTCGTCTCTTTGCTATTTACGAGTATTATCTAGCCTCATTCATATTATTCTTACAAGTTTATCCTGGATGCAAGGTGCTTTTTTCTTCTAGTTATATTGTAACAGAAACGTTTACCAAATCTTTAGTCTGTTTTGTCTTGATATTCGATTTTATATACGGTTTCTCCCCCTCATTCATAAAAATGTCAGACGTCTCGTAAACCTGTTTTACCAGAGGGAGACTCTATACAAAAGTCGAGTACCTCTGTCCCATTCATGTTTCAACCGTAAAGCAGTTGTGTTTGCATGGCTGTGTTTCGGTTTAAAGGGTGGGATATGGCGTGAATTTACTGGGTACGGAGAAATAACACCTGAGTCCTCAGGAATGGCAACGCATGGGGGGTATCATGGGCGAAACAATATACTCTGTTATGTCCATGATACTACTCATGTCTATAGGCGACGGTTACCACTTTCCATCAGGTGGGTCGTCAGCTTGAGTGCCATTCTAAGTTGTATAAAAAAAAAGCTATTGAAGTGGTTCATTTTTTTCTTTTACGTTATATTCACAAATTGAAAGACAGTGACAAAACATTATAATACTTGATATAGGTTTGTTGTTATAATTTTTATGAACAAGATAGTCTGTCTATATTTACAATCTACATTATAATTTATCTTACAGATACCGAAGTTCAGTTTAATAGATTACATGTACGTGTAAGCCGTCTAAATTAACTCATGATTAATTCTGATATTTCTGATATCTTATCGAAAGTTTACATTTCATAATATTTACATTGCGTACATACCCATCTAATTCTAGTATGTAATTCTTATAAATTCAGGTGGAGACCAGGGTCTTCTCAATTCCTTCTTCTCTGACTGGGCTCGTGGGGATATCAACAGACATCTACCTTTCCTTTACAATGTCACGTCTGCTGCTTTCTACTCTTATCTGCCCGCACTCAAACAGTAAGTTTCTTTATACATTTATTTATAGACTAAGGTTCTAATTAGGGGAACACTTTATACAATAATTGTCTGTTTTGGTTCCTGTGTCGTACTTGTGGTTTTGCGGTGAAGTTGTTATGCTTGCACGGCTGCTTTTTCATTTGAAAAGTGAAGTATGACAATGCAATTATAGTGTACGAAGATATAAAATTTATTTCTCAGGAATGGTAATGCATGAGGAATTTTATTAGTTAATTCCAAGTTTTATTAGGCATATAAAAAATAATGCATAGTAGTATTTATTCATCACTAGCTGTATTCTGCGGTTTTGCCTGTGGGAATTAGAAAAAAGTATGTGTCCTAATTCTCAACGGGCAAACTGAGGGATTTGGAAAACAGTAGTTTATTTATATGCTTTTCATTTGAATCCAATTTGTTCAGCTCAAGTAATAAACAATATTAATCTTTACAATAAAATTTTATAATAGTATTAGTTAGATTTACGTATTTATTTTGTATATCCAATGGTTCTTCATCATCACTGTCATCATATCGCCCATTAATTGCTGTCCATAGGCTGCTGAATGAATGTATATAGGTGCTGAATATAGGCCTCCCCCTATCGGGGGGTGTTGCCAGTAGTTGCCATGCTTGGCAGGTGGATTAGCAACTGACGTTAAGCTTTGGTGATGTGTGATGTTTAAAGAAGGACGCTGCTGCCCATTCCTCGATTATTATCTTCCCTTAGTCGCCTCTTATAACACCTACGGGAATGGAAGGGGTGGCCCATTTTATGCTGGGACCACACAGTAATGGTTCTTAGTCTAATCTAATGAATAATGGTACTCATTGATAAAATTAACAGCGCGATTACGTATAGCGGCATGTTGATTATACCTTATTATACCTTTTCGGGCCAAGTATAGCCTGTTTTTAAATAAGTTACTATTAGGGTATCATAAATTTAGACTAACTTCAGAGAATGATTGATCACTGAAATGTTTCTATGTGTCCGTTCCACGCTTGTTTCACTATTCCGTCTGCATTATCTATTACACATACATAGTATAAGATTAGATAATTTATAATGAGTACATTACGTAATCAAAACATACGGACAAGTTCATTGGTATTGTAGTTTATTGAACTAAGTAAATAGCGTGTCTGTTGATTTTATACTTGAGTTGTTTTGAATATGCTGAAATAATAGGAATATGTATTATATCATATGTTTGTTGTATTTGGCATTATTTAATAAACAGTCTTGGCATGACATTTTATTTAAATAGCAGTGCAGTTGTTTATTTTATATAAACAAATGGGATATTGTACAAGACAGTGGGTGTATGTGACTCGAGAAGAGAGAGAAGAGTTTTTATTTTTATAAATCAAGTGACATAGATAAAAAAATAATTTGAACAAACTAACGCTGACATCAAAATAGAAAAGAAATCTTCGATTGTGTTATGATAATATTTAAAATACTCGTTCCATTGAATTTATTATAATTTTTATACCGTTTTCAAAAAGAAGGAGGTTCTTGATTCGGTTATATTTTAAACAAACCGATATAAATGTTGAGTAGTAAAGTTTTTCTTATCTAAAAGGATATATTTACAGATTGTTCCCATAGAAAACATATTAAAATCAGTTTGTTGTTTACTTTTTTAATCAAAATAACTAGTTTTGCCACAGCTGAAGTCAGTTTTTTTTAATTAAATTTAATTGTTAAAACTTCCGTTTAACTTACGTGTAATTAGAAAAAGCTCGGTTTTTGTCTCACACATTATTGTTATTGGTTTCGAAATGACATCCTCAGGCGTATTAAAAGAATTATATAAAGAATATTGTTTATTCGCACTTTTTTATGTAACTTAGAATGGCAAACAATTTGAGGGCCCACCTAATGGAAACTGGTAATCGTTTCCTGTAGGCATAAACAGTATCATGGATATAACCGAGTGTTCTTTTTATCTTTTGCTTTTAATAATTAAGTTACATCTTTATAAGTAAAATAGTGCATATTACCATTATCGCTTATAAAGATAAATTCCAAATTCTACCCTGTACATCCCTAACATTATCACAATTGAAGAGTAGGGTTAATTAGTACCTATATCTAATATATATACATATAAAGTTTTTTGGTAAATAACATGGATATAACCGAGTGTTCTTTTTATCTTTTGCTTTTAATAATTAAGTTACATCTTTATAAGTAAAATAGTGCATATTACCATTATCGCTTATAAAGATAAATTCCAAATTCTACCCTATACATCCCTAACATTATCACAATTGAAGAGTAGGGTTAATTAGTACCTATATCTAATATATATACATATAAAGTTTTTTGGTAAATAACATGGATATAACCGAGTGTTCTTTTTCTTTTTTTTTTTAATAATTAAGTTACATCTTTATAAGTAAAATAGTGCATATTACCATTATCGCTTATAAAGATAAATTCCAAATTCTACCCTGTACATCCCTAACATTATCACAATTGAAGAGTAGGGTTAATTAGTACCTATATCTAATATATATACATATAAACTTTTTTGGTAAATAAGTATTTTTTTTTTAAATAATAGAATGAGTATACTTTATTTGCATTATACAATATAGGAAACAAGCAAGACAATTAACATTTTTATATTCATATAAGATTTTTTTAAGCCTTTTATAAACTGTATTATAAATAAGGCTCTAAAGTATACTCATTGGAGTACAACTATGTCACCATACAAGGTGACTTAAGTGGTTTTTTTATGTTTATAAAATAATATTCTCTATTGCACCAACAAACGTAAAAATGTAAAATGTTAATTAGACAATTCAAGTGAGATACAATTGCATAAAGTACAATTTTCAATTTTTACAATTGATATAGAAACAGAAAAAAAGTTTGCATTACCATCAGCCCCCAAACTAGGCCAGACCTGTATCTTGGGGACTAAGAGTGCGGTAACCTAATGTTTAGTACACTTTATTTAAACAATAAATAAATAAATAAAAAAACCCATTGAATACCATACAAATATAGGCATGTAAATAAAACCTTAATTATTTTATTCGTTATAGCTACGGGCAGAACCTCAAGATTATTCACTTCATCGGCGCAGCTAAACCGTGGCTGCAACAGTTCAATTTCGAAACTCGGTCAGCCGAGGGTCCAGAATACTTAAGGGAATTTCTACAACTTTGGTGGGACATATTCGTTGGCCAAGTTCACGCTCATCTCGATGTTGCCATGGTGAGTATTCTACATCTTATTTTATAGCTTACTTTTAAAATATTTTTTATCAAATTTATCTAAAGGAAAATGAAATGCTATTCGTTAGTAAATGCATCATTTGAAAACGAATAGACTGATATGGCAATTTTTTAATATTTTTAATAGCCCGATTAAGATTTTTACAGAAAAAAAATTGAATATGAACGTGTGTAACAAAATGATTTCTATGAACCAAGAATGTAAAAAAATAATAGGACCATTATATTTTAAATTAATTAGTAAGTATTCGACTTTCTTGTTATTATTTATTAACTGGACTCACGCTTTAATATCATAAGTTATGAAAATATGAACATAATTATTATTATTTCCACGCCAAATACGAGATAGCTACGTAATTATATGCAAAATTCCATGAAAATTGGTAGACTCGGTTAAGACGTCAAAATGTAAGAAATGAACAAATCTTCAAATAATATGTGTATTAACTAGAAAATACCACAGCGTGAATTCAATTTAAGGTCTATTGTAAGAGCTAAGAATACTATTATTATTATTGTGAGATATCGATTTCAATATCAAGTAACACAGCGACGGAATCGAATCCTTTCGATTGTGGTTGCTCGATCGAGACCACAACTCTTGTACTTGAATAACGTACAGTAAATTAATCCATTCTTATATCGTGCTCTGTACTGAACTCAACATGTTTTCCAAGCGTTCATATAAGGACTCTGTTACAGAGGTGAGGATCCTAAGCATTGGTTATCACCAATGGTATATGTTAATAGCCTTGTTTTTTTAATACGCCCCTATGGTTATTCATTTCTAAAGATATTTTATTTTTCGCCCATCCCTTAATTACATATTAATAGTGCTAATTTCTGAGTGACTAAACTTTATTGCTTGCACACCGAAGCTTGCCCATTCCCCCGCTGACTGTTGCACTTTTTTTTATATCAGGCATTTGTGTGATTAAATTTCCGAAAGGTTTCTCCAAAATACTAACATTTTCTAACATTTATAAACATAGATTTAGAATGCTTATTGCACGATTTGGTGAAACTAGTTGTTGAATAATTTAGATGGTGTTGGTATTTTGGTGAAATACTGCGGAACTAAAATAAACATACAGTGATAAATCTAGATAAACTGTTATATAAATAGTTTATACACGTAAAATATTCGTACATGTCAATATTTTTTTTGTACTGTTAATAAAGTGAAAAGAATTACAGTGACAATGAATCAACCCTTAATTTTAAATATATTTTATTCGTATGTTTATTTAGTGTTCCAAATACAGTATATATACTAATATTTGCTTGGACGAAGCTTTTGGCACTGTGTTGTGTTTTGTTTGTGTGCGAAGCTTAGTTCAAGTATTTGTGTGCATGCACATCCATTGAGTTGTTTTGTCACTTCAACCGATAGGCTGAGGTGCATGAAGCCACTCCACCGTTACCTTCTCAAGATATCAGCCAATACTATGAACCGAGGGTTGATCCAGAATCTGAATTCCCTTGGCACCATCCAGTTCAAGTACAAGAACAAAGGAATGTAACAGAAATAGACTTAACCCAGTTCTATGATCCTTGGCAATTTTATAGAGGACATATTCCACCGAGGGAGGGTGAATCTTTTGCACATCTTTCAGATTTACAAAGACCAGACGATCGTGAAGATTTGAGGAGACATGTATGGGAATATAATCAATCTCATGACTACGAGACTCTACAACAAGAATTGAACACAGATCAAGAAGAAATGCCCCAGATTCGCAATCAAATGGAATATCAAAATCAAAATACACAACAGCATAATAATAATAGTCAACAAAATCACCATCAACTTACAAATGGATATCGGGAATATAACAATAATTATTACTATTATTATCACCATCATTATCACCGTCATTTTCAACGGGTTCCTTATATATATTACCCTTACGTACGCAATTACTACAGCTTGCAGCACAGGCAATCAGATTATAATCGTAATTATTACCACAATCAATTAGATAATTCTAGTCATACACAATATTACTTTAATTCTACTCATTCGCACCGACACAACTCACATAATAATTCTAGTCAAAGTCAACATGTTACTCACAATATTGTTGTTGATAATTTTCATAATGACCGAGATGATCCGCAGCCTGAACCTCATATAAATTACAATGAACTAGAGCCAATACAACATGTTCATCCTAATACACATAATAGAAGAACCCATCAGCAGCCCAGAGTAAATGGCATGGATATAGTGCCATTAAATAGAAATGTCAATGGAAATGTTTCTGACAATGATATTGAACATAACGATAATATACCGAGACACCCGTATGATGGCTTCTATTTAAGGCATCAAACAACAATAGATCATCATGGACGCAAAATTTGTATACATCAAATACCTGAAACTGCATCGCAATCTGCTATCGCTGCAAGGCCTGAATCGTCGGTTTCGTTAGACGGTAATATGCCAGCAGAGGCGGCGACTACTCTTGAATACAGTACACAAGTAAGTTTAATTTCAAATCACATTCTAAATCCAGTGTTTATCATATAAATTCGATCCGGAGATTTTGAATTCGGTCGAATTTATGTTCATCAAAAAACAGGTAAATACGTGTTTAAAGTAGAATCTATACAAATATGCTCGTCTTATGAATTTAGAGTTTGTTACCCATTATATCCTGATCTGTAGAAAGCTTTGCATGTCATTGTCCTGATCTGTAATTCGCATGTACTTTTTAAAAAAATAACTCCCATTTCCTATATAATAATATTAATTAATTTAGTTTATTTATATTTCTTTAATATTGAGCGCGTTATGACCTGATGATTTGCTACTCTAACGATAGTGATCATTTATTCAGAATTTTTGTGTATATAATTTAACTTTTTAAAGAATTTATCAGTGGTGGAAAACGTCAAATTAATCCAACATATGCTAGTAAATGCTCCCCTGTTATTTTGGTTCCAAATATGCTCAGTGAATTGTTACGTTGATAATATCCGTATAGTTCTACGATTTATCATAGCAGTAGTCAATTCTTTGACTATCTTATCAGAGATGATAGTCATTATTTATTGAAAATGTTTAATTTTTAATTTTACCATTTCATCTATTATTAGAAAACAATTTTAAAATAAAACTAATTTTTATTTCAGAGTGGAGTCGCAGGCAATTTGGCACGTGTAGCGCCAGGTGCGTCCGGATCCCAGCGTGACGCTCTAGATGAACTTACACGTCGGCAAGGATGGGAAGCAGGCAATATAGATTACATGGGAGCAGATTCCTTTGACAATATTTGGGCCAAAATCTCGCAAACGCTCAATCAACCTCGAGTATCTCCTCCAAAACAGACGGCCACTAAGGAGCCTACTCCACCTCCTGTTGAATCAGCACCTATTTCCGTTGAGGTGGCACAAGAAGCGGTATCATTAGATACTGCAGTTACTCCTGCACCTAGCGACACGCCTATTGTAGGTGAGGTTTCCGCGCCAGTACTAGATGAAGCATCTCCAGTGACAGAAATTCCTGCTTCAATTGAAACGATTGTACCCCCACTAGTGCAAGCAGAAGTTTCCGCATCAATAGTAGCTCCAGTTGATGCATCTGTATCACCTGCTCCAGCGATAACTGATGCATCTCCATCCGTACCAACAGAAGCTCCGGCATCAACAGAAGTACCTACACAAATAGAAACAGAAGTACCAGCAGTAGTAGATGCACCTGTATCCACAGAAGCATCTGCACCTGTGCTAGCAGAAGCACCCACACCAGTACCAACAGAAGCACCTGTGCCCACAGAAGCACTTGCATCAGTACCAGCAGAAACACCTGTATCTACAGAAGCACCTGTGTCCACAGAAGCACTTGCATCAGTAGCAATAGAAGAACCCGCATCCACAGAAGCAGCTGCACCTGTACCAACAGAAGTACCCGCTTCTATACTAACCGAAACATCCAGATCCACAGAAACAGGAGCGTCAGTTCCGACTGAGGTTTCTGAACCATCCTCAACAGCAGTAGCTGTAACAACTGCACCAGCAGGTTCTCTTATTTCAGTGGAAGCATCAGCGTCAGTTCCAACTGAGGTACCCGCACCAATACCAGCTGAAACAACGGAACTTCCCACATCGATTGAAACATCCGCACCACAGTCAACAGATATCTCTACACTACCTTCACCAGCTCAAACTGAAGTGCCTGCAACCGTTGAAGCTGTTGCTCCAGTTAAGGCATCAGAACTAGAATCAACCTCAGTTCTTGGTGATGTCCCTGCTTCAGTAGTACCGTCTACTGGAGGTGAAACACCTACACCAGTTACAGTAGAATCCGCATCCGTACCTGCGACGGTCGAGACTACAACGACGGCAGCAACAGAAAGTGTTGCTGCTGAAGTTCCTGTTGGTGTTGAAGCACCTATAATACCGCAAAAGACTGAAACACCAGCAGTGCCCCCTACACCGCCAGGGACACCTAAATCGTCACCAGAAGCTTCAACTCCAGTTACGGAAACAGCACCAATCTTAGATACCCCTAAAGTACCTGAGACACCACCAGCTGTTGCTCCGGTGCCACCGGCAGAAGCACCAATTGTGCCAGCATCAGATGTTACACCAGAGAAAGCACCATCTGTCAGCGATAGTCCCCCCCTAGCCAACACGCCGCCCAAAGGAGCGCCCGCAGAGCCCGTTGCCAAATGTAAGTAAAACAGAAGAAAGAGAGTGCAGGCAGCTGTTAACGGCTTTGCATATTAAGTTCTCACCGAGTTAATTTTGCAGTTTTCTCTTAGATTTCTACTAATATGTTTATAGTTTAGCTGCATCAGTTTTACGTGGAGACCGAGACGCATCTAATAGCTTACACGGTTATCCGTAGAACGCGATGTGTCTACATGTTTTCTTTTGTGCCGTTTTGTGATGTTTTTGGTTTTTACGAGTATGTTATTTTAATGAGCATAAGTTTCAAAATTCGTTGTTATTTCACCCAGCTACCGAGGAGGCAGCGCAAGAGACGCGGCTTTGATAGATCAGGTAATAACAATTTTGTACTTGTACCCAACACAACTTTCAGTGTTCAACTAATGTAATCTTAATTTTATTTGGTTCAGAATTCTATATTATAAAGTTTAGGGTTTATTAAAATTGGCATATTTACTTTTTTTATATCAATGTATAATATATTTTTTTTGTGATGTTTATATTTTTGATATATTGTGAAAGTTGGGTTGTGTCCAAGCTTATGCAGTAAATAGGACCGTAGGACGTCTTAGTCAGACTCATTTGCTTTACGCAAAGGAAAGAATCCAGACATTCATTTTCCTTCCCAGTCTGACAGCGTAAAAGTCCCAATTAAACAATTGTATTTGACCTGTTCCAATCACGATGATGCGAGGGATGTTATTACCTATTAATTTCTAAAAATCATTCAACGTCTACTTTCAGAAAATAAAGACTAAATAAATGTGTCTAATGCATAATATCAGAAACAAAAGTACAGGGCAAATACGATTGTACATAAACTGCGTGATGCACTTATCCTAGAATGTTACACTTTCACTCTAGAGAAAATGAGTGGAAACTGTAATATCGTTATTTTTTTTTTGTTTGCTTCATATGTTTGTCTCACACATTGCAAGGAATATTATTCAATGCTTTTCCATCGCGAACACACTTTGCACATTGTCACAAAGCGCAACACATATAGGCTGGTAGTTTTCTTAGCACTACCATTCGATTTCTAATAAATTAATACAATCGATTCCATTCGATACCTGCATAATAATTCTCCTTGTAATGTAAATTGTACATTAGCTTGGATCTTTACTAAACTGTCACAAGATCTAACTTTCCGCTTGCATTGTTTTTCGAGTTAACCATGTAGCTCTGTTTTCCCTCGACTTTGTTCCAGGCCCTAACCGAGCTTGCTCTCTAATGTGACTGCCATACTAACGCTACGTGTAAATGACCGAGAGAATAAGGGCGAGATTAAATTGATTGTATAGCTGAGGAGCGTCGCAAGCCAGCGGGGAAGCTGCAGCTGAGTCCCCCTGCCGCTGCCGATCCGCTCCCCACCCCTGACAGCGAACTGGAAGACGCAGCTGCACTTGCACAGTCTATCATCGCCAGCGAGTTGCAAACGCCTACAGTCACCTCGCCAGAACCCTCTGCCACTCCCGCTTCACCTCCGCCGCCTGTTCAACAAGAGAGACTCGTTGTAGAAGAACCAGAAGTGCCGACGCCACCTGTAGATAGCGTGTCTCTCGCCCAGATAGGGGTCAAATCCAGCAAAGGAAAGTCTACGACAGCTGCGCAGATAGAATCGTCCGTAATAGTAAAAGCCGAATCAGAAGTACCGGCAGCCGAGTCAACAGCGCCGGCGGCAGAGTCAACAGCGACAGCGGCAGAGTTAACAACGCCGGCGACAACCGCGCAACCTAGTAAATCCACGGATGCACCTAAAAAGAAGGTTGTGAAGAAGGCGGCTAAGAAAGAAAAAGAGGGTGCGTCGAGCGGCGATACTCCTGTGCCGCCGCCGCGCAAGAAGGAAAAGAAGCCCAAAGAATAAAGAGGGCATACGCTCCCTATACCTAGTTCCTCTGTGCCATAAATTGTAACCTCTCCATATAATTTTAATGTTTATATTTTCAAATGCTTTTATATATCTATGCATAATTGTCTTTAATTATAATTATTTCTTATTAGTCATCATTCACTATGTATATGTTTTTATTGACCGAAATTTGCATTATGTTAATAAATAAGACACATTTCTACCTTTTTATATTATAACATTAATTATTTTGGTTTTATATATTCAAAAGATTTTACCAAAGCATGAGACGTATTTATTAAACGAAGTTTTATGTAATTTTGTATTAAAAGTCTATTTTCGAATGTTTTTATTATTACTGCCTAAAGAATTGTTGTGCAAAAAAGTAATATATATATTTTTTTTCATTACAACGTAATATCTGGTAAGGTAGGGATATTTTTATATAACATGGAATGGCAAACAAGCTGACGGACCACCTAATGAAAAATGGTAACTGTCGCCGTCATATATTAATACAACGCATATAAATTGGTAAATTTTCTATTTGTGGGTGAACTTCTAGCTTTAACCAAATAGAGTAAAAGGGTAGGTTTCAAAGCCACTTCAAATTATTATTTTATTATTAGTTATTTTTAAGATTCTATATAGGTACAAAAAATGGAATCCTACTCATCATATCAGCTGTAAAATGTCTAGTGCTATGGTCCTGAGACACTTACATCCACTTACTCACAGCTGTGCATTTGAAGTTGTCACTCCATATAGTGGGGGGTCGCCTTATACTACATTAGCCTGTACAGGGTTGCCACTCAAGAACCTTTACTTTCCTTCTTTCGTCAGCTCTTCGAACTAGCCCATTGTCTTCGTTATCCTTGGGACTATATCGATCACTTTGGTTCTTCTGCGGATACCCTCATTTTGGATTTTATTACGCAAAGAATCAATCAATGAAACAAGATATCAAAAACCTTTCTGCAGGATTAACGTATACATTCTCTGGTGTTTATTCCCTTGATGAGTAAAATAAAAAAAAATACAATGTTAAAGTATAATTTATATAATTTAGCATGAATTTGAATAAAAAGTATTAGTGTCTAAAAGTACTAGCCAAGTAACACTAGGGTACAGTAATTTTATTCTTATGGAATCTTCACATATATAGAATTATTAAAAATAGCTTAATTTGAAATTTTATGAATTTTAAAATGAATTTTCATATAATATTAGGATAGCCATCTTGTAAGGGATGGTTCCTAAGGATTACGTATGTATCTAGATATCTATTCCTACATAATAATTTATTAGGTAATAAATTCTATTGATAATTGAAGGATATTGCTCTCAGTTACGTTGAGTGGTGGGTGTGTAACTTACACACACAAACAAACTAAGCTAGAGTGGTATCGTATCCTATAATTTATAAGAAAATTGCGGCTAGAAGCAAACAAACTGGATGTTGCAGAACTGTAGCTCTTTACATAGTATTATAGATATTATTTATTGTTCCATCCAAAAGACGACAGTAGTAAAGTTAGTAAAAATACAATATATATATTTCTTATATATATATATATATATATATATATATATATATATATATATATATTTATATATATATATATATTGGATGGAGAGGAGTAAGTATAAACAGTTAGGAGTTGTTATAATAGTTTTAATATAGTGTTCGATGCAGTCTCAGCGAATATATAGGACACGATAGTCTTCATGGCTGTTAATGTATGCTAATGACATAGCGTTAGTAGCACAAAACAAGAGACATTTAGAGCGTAAGGTGAATAGTTGGAAGGAAATGCTTGAGAATAGCAGTCTGAGACTGAATGTGGCGAAGACAGAATATTTGGCCAGCAATCCTGGTCACAATTTGGATCCATCTACTATCTGGATAGGTATTGATCCATTTAACATGGATGTTGATGTATGTGTGGATGTGTCCATAGTGTGGATGATGACGTACAGAACAGTATTTGCGCGTCCTAGGTAAGGTGAGGTTTCTGGAGTATTATGCGATTGAAAGATGCCTTTTAAGTTGAAAGGTGTATAAGAGCATCTTCAGATCAGTTTCTGTATACCTATTTAGTTACAGGGTGAATAAAGACTAGTGGACATATTGCTAACAATATGATTGACATCCGTGGTGTTATTTGTTATTTTTTGTTTAAGGGTGATATTATGTTAGGAATAGGAAAGTTAGGATAAAGGATAAAGAGGCATATAAAAACTTATTTTTCAGTAAGTAACAGTTACTTAAGACGGGTTTCATGTCATCTATATATATATATCGTATATACTATGCTATTCATGATGCCGTTATATGTCTATAGGCGATGGATACTACTTTCTATCAGGTGAGCTATAAGCTTGATTGCTATTTCCAAATCCATGAAAAATAAATATACAGTAAAGAAATTCGTCATACAATTTTTTTTAATTCACATTTAATAACAAATTTTAGGGATAGAGGCTGTAAATCTGGCGGTATGGCAGAAACTGCTGTGAAATCTGATACTCGTCATGTCACAGAAACATTTTATCAATTCATCAAATACTGTGATGTCGTGTTAGTTGTTCTCAAATTATGTGACTAGTTCACGATGTAAGATCACGGTTATTTACACGCTTATTAGTTCCAATGAGCCGGTGCCACTGTGGGTGGTCTCAGAATAGCTCTGTTCGCAGTATGTAATAAAATATGCTCGTTACACGAATCAGGTTAGCTATACTATCTACTTTATTATCTAATAGCTATGTCGACAATTTTATCCGGGTGTTAAACGAAATGAATTTAATAGAAAAAAATATATTATTAAATATTTTAAACCATCAAAGAAAAGTAATCTCTTTTATATTAAGGCGTAATCTTTAATGATTGCTTCACTAACGCTAGAATAGTTTAGAATATTTTATTTGCTTTGAATAGATAATACAAAAGTTTTGTTTAATAAATAGACAGTTCATATTTAGCTAATAGCATGCAAGTTATATGAATATAGTTTTTTTTTAAGTTACTAATTAATTTTATAATAAATGAGTAAATACATTCCTACATACTATCTCATGTTAATTATTAAATAATTTATAATTGGGAATAATTACACTATAAACACTAGAGTGTAGAAACATTTGTCAAGAAACCACTTTCTAAGGGTCGTTTTAAAACGCGTGAGGGGTAATTCTCTTATATTTTTGGGAATTTCATTATACAATTTTATCAATACAAAATGACAATTTTTATTATTATTAAATAAAGTGCATGTTGGCTTTGGTAATAATAATTTGATTGGGTCTTTTGACAAACGTAAATGGCTTACAGAGCATTTTTCAAATATTTCTGGATTATGTACATGGATAATATGGCACGCGTCTGCATGATTCCAATGAGTGTACTAAGCATAAGGCTCTAATACATTTCTTTGGTGTAATAATTTTTCACAATATCCTTTTTATCTCTTCTTCCCCTCGCCATTTGACGGAGCGGTTTGATTTTCTACATTCCGTCAATTCTTTTAATCTAAGTTCTTTTGAGGCCCTCCAGCTGAAGACGCCAGTACATTTTTCTAATTTTTACGACAAATCGTTCACAGTGCAAGATGTACGGTTATGGAATAGTTTAGCAGTTTGCATACGAAATATAAAATGTCTGCCGAGTTATAAAATAAAATTTTAGAATTTTTAATTGCGCAAGTTGTCATTTTCATAATTTGTTTATCCGGTTTGCATACTAATTTTTTTTATATCTAAACATTTTATAACTTTGTGTTTTACGTATACATGTGAGCAGTATTTATATATTGTTATGTGTTTGTGTAGGTGTTTATATATATGTGTATGTGTATATGTATGTGTGTGTATAAATAATAATGAGTAGGGATATATATTAACATTATTACATGTATTTTTTTTTGATGGGTGAAAATGGTATGATAACCCCGCCTGCGCTAACGGTATACGCTGGCGGAGCACCATTGAAGGGTGATAGATGAGAATGAAAACAGGCCAGTTAGCCCATCATGATGAATTCATCAGGAATTAACCATGATAGTTTCCAGGGGGAACCGCGAGGAGGTCGACCTGGTTGGGTATATTGCTAGTAATGGGATTCTTAGTCTCCATTACTAACAATCCCTTTTCCCCCTATTACATGTATTACATCTCTATATTTACAAATATCTAATAGAATTTTCACCGTGCCTCCGACCAAACTGTTTATACTCGTAATTACTTCTCTCCATCCAAAGGTTACCTGGAAGAGATCACTTTTAGCGATAAGGTCGGCCATTGTTTTCTCATTGTGATTATTTCTTGTAATGGTTTCCATCTATAATAAGTTTACTATTGTAATCTTTTGGAGGAAACAATAATGAGTATCTATTTCTCTATAAATTCTGTCTATTTGAACGCATTGCCAAAGGTTGCTGAGATAACTCTCGATTCATTTTAATACTTCTGACACCATACTTTTGATTACTAAAACATGTTTAATTAAATCTAGACTACGAGTACCTATTTTATTATGAAAGGAGATCTCCCAGTTTGGATTAAGTTATTGTAGATACAGTTACTTAATAAAAAGTAAAAAATAATTATGAAGAAAATAAATTTGGGACCCCACTAAATCCATTTTGAATTGGCGAATATTATTGCGTAATGCATACAAATAAAAAAACTTAAAAATTTATTATTCTGACGATTTTAACTATTATATTTAACTACATTATAGATAAATTATACTTTTATAATCTAAGCTAGGGGGTAAATTAACAACAACATTCTAGATTGCTTAACTAAATAAAATTAACAATTAATTCAATTTAAATTAGTATATTACACCGACTCCAAATAATAATTTGGATAAGGGTAGAAAGATGATATATAATTAATTCAATTCACCGCCATCTAGTGATTAACTGTGTATTTAAATAAACTACACAAAAGTACGCACCCAGCTGCGCTATGTTACAAAGTTTCCTCCTCTGTTGATAGGTAGAGTTGAATAAATAGTTCAGTAGTAAGTTAGGTCGGCAGATGATCGAAGTTGCCAGCTTAGACCTTTCGAAGCAATATTTAGCTATTTTTCTTCTTATTTGTTTCTTTTTTATTATATTTTGAACGAGATCTTCGTTCTGAATGTAATAAATTTACTGTCAAATAAAAATAATAAAAAAATGTGTAAATATAAAATATTTATTTTAACAAAAAAATATCGCAGCTAGGTTCTAAAGAAATTTAATAATATGCCAGTGCTATTATTTTAGTATCATATCATCATATTTAGTAAATTTTGAACAAGTACCGACTACATATACATATATTCAGAGTATTTAGATTTCATTTTTAAATAGATTTAATGTCCGGTTATTAATACATTAGATTTAAATTGTTTACGATTATATTTAGAAATTTTGTACATTTTAAGGACTACTTAATTCTAATTTAGCTCGAATTATAGTTTAGCCAAAAGTTTGAAACGGTGTTGGCAACACTGTTAGCAACTCGTCAAATTATTAGTTTGACGTTAGCCTTCCTACGTTGCGGTATTGTCGTTCAGTTTGGTGAAGTAACGTTCACATTATCAATGTTTATAAACACAAATCGTAAAGATATCACAATTAACAAGTTTATTTATGAATAAAATCGAAAACTTTTGTGTTTTTCAATCTTTGTTAGTGTGTTTTCCTTCTTTTTCTCTTGGATTTGTACGTTTTATTCGAGTGTGTAATCTTGTATCGGCGAGAAGTCAGCATCGTTGATTTTGTTGGACGGTGGTTGAAAATGTGATACAAATACAGTGGTGAATGGTATGGACCGATGAAGCAGACCCGTTTGTGATACATTAAGAGTATTATATGAACTTATAAAATCTAATAACATGCGGTGGTTTTTAATTATACTTCTTTTGCCATATTCCTTGGCCCATCTCAATGTTTATCTCAGCAGTTCAGAAGTATGGAGATTGTTTGGTAAGTTCTGGTCTAATATTTATAAAGTTAGTGACATTTGAAGTTTATCATTCCACTCATTTATCACATTGTTGCAATGTTTGATAATATCTCGGAAGATAATGAAATAGATAACAAAATTGAGTTTGCCAAATCTTGTAGGTAATAAATACTGTACTGGGCACCTGTTTTCTTTTTAAATGATGACAATGGAGTGGTAATCCCGCCTGCGCTTTCAGTATACCCTGACGAGGCACCAGTGAAGGGTGATAGGTGATAATGAAAGTAGATCAGATAGCCCATCGTGACGAACTCTATTACAATTAATTACAATGGTTTCCAGGGGGAACCGCGAGCAGGTCAACCTGATGGGTCTATGGGGCTATGATGGGGCTAGCAATGGTTCAGTTAGATCCCGTTACTAACCAAGTCCCTTTTTTCCCCGAAGCAGGTCAGTTAGCCCATCGTGACGAATTCACCGATAGTTTCCAGGGGAGCCGCGTGGAGGTCGACCTGTAAGGGTATATTGATAGCAATGGGGACTAACCTCCCCATTATATCCAAGATATATACACGTTCTTGTTAAGTTTATAAAAAAAAAAAAACCTGTAGGTATTTCTTATCTAGGCAGGAAATAGGTCAGTGGCTCAAGTCGTAAGTAATAACAATAGGTAAATAATGTAATTATAATAAGTACACCGTACCTATTTAATTTGCCATAGGTAAATACCTATCTACATATATTCGAGTATGTTACCTTCTAGAATCTACGCTGTACAGTCGATCCATAAAATCCTAAGGTGAAATCTGATAGTTTTTGACGAAGACTAACGGTGGGACCGTTTGCTTAGCATAGTATTATATTATGTGTGGTCTTAGTAATATAGAATGTATTTAGTGTTAGGTCGAACATCACACGGATTCTTTTATACTCGTATACTGTCATGGTTAATGGTCCACGTTGGACCAATTGACTTGCCTTCATCTTCACTTATCTCTCAGTGGTGCCACTCCGTGGTAAATTATTAGCGTAGGCGTTACCATTCCATTATTGTCCATTAAAAAACCTTCGCGAAATTTCTAATTTGTACCCTATCTCATACGTACGGTAGGTATTTTTTGCATACCCTAATTTTTGTGTACCCGATTATAAGTCCTATAATGTTAGTAGGTACCTATCAAATACAGTTAGGACAACGTTTACTTTTCAACCGATTTTATAAAGAAGGAGGTGTTCAGTGAAGAACATCGCTCGTCTGATTATAAACAGTTTCTATAAGACCATAGACGCTTATGGACGCCTGCAAATTTAAGGGTGTCACATGCGTGTTACCGAAGTTATACCTACTGTGGTTTTAGCTTCCACGTACTTCAAAAGTCATTTTAAAAATTCCTAATACCTATTTTGGTCTTCAGTTTTACGTACTTCAAAAGTACCTATGTATTTACTTTATACCTACTGAATTCCGTATGTCCATATTGTTTTCACACTTAACTAGGTACGTCAATGGTTTTACGTTCTTTTATTTATTTACGATCAAAATATAGATATACGCCAATATATAAATATCAGGGACGGTTTTATGAAAAGTTTTTGTATTGATATTGTAGTAGAATATTTATTTTGCAAATAAGAATTGAAACACCATAGAGCGAGTGCACCTTTAAAAAAAATTACATACCTATATCAATTTAAGTATAATATTATTGTAATTACTTGTCTTTCGTTCCACTATCTTATTCAAATATTTTATTATTTACTAGCTTTTACCTGCGAATTTGTCCGGGTGACCAGGGTATGTTTACTGATCGAGATAAAAAGTAGCCTATATCCATCTTCATCCTGCACAATATGTGTATATATACTATATTTCATTTTAATTGGTTAAGCCGTTAAGTCGCTGTAAGGTAACAAAAAATCAACTTATTTTTACAATTATATAAATTAGTAAGAATACACGTGACCGTTTTTGAAAAAATTAGAATTTTTTTCTGTATATTCCTCACTACTAGGTACATAGAAGAGAAAGTGCTTTGTTTGCAAATTCCCAATAGTTGAAATTTATCATCTTGCCCCTTTTCCTACGTCTATTTGGAATCGGCGTAATGTACTTCATCATTCTTTTCTGTCTGCAGTAATATCAGTGTTCAATTTCTATAATATCATGTTATCTTTTACGTACTTGCAATTTTGAGTTTCGTGTATTATTTAAGTTTTGTATGTTTGGATTATTAAACTAGTCCATCCATCTTATTCTTTTAATTTATGTGTAACATATTCCTAAATTACCAGAGTGCCTACCATGAAATGTTTTCCGAAATTTCGGAGCCAAACGAAACACAAATTTCATGTTAAAATTACATAATACATGCCGTTTGGAAATATTAAAAATGTTAAAATATTGTTCCTTTGAACTTTTATGATAGGATATCTGACAAACGAAATGTTAAACTCCATTTGTTGGTCCGATTTTGGTATAAACAAAAACACGGAATTGAGTACGAAATTTCGGAATTTCATTTCATGGTAGACCCGCAGTTCAGTACCTATTATTTTATCTGTGCTCATGCCAAGACAAACGATTACTTCTCAACTTTTCTATCACAGCTACTTTCAAACTTTCTCTCGTATAAGTACTCATTAAATACTTAATCTTGTCTATTCATCTCAACATTCGCATCTCAGTTGCATGTTCACGCTGAATTTAAGAAGAATTAATAAGAATAATGATCTCCATAGGAAATCAAGCGGAGATCGATCTAATAGGGTACAATAATACCCCATACATACCCGGTATAATTATAAAACTTTACAATAAATAAAACACAATATTATTTTATTGTAATTACATGTATTTCCTTTTTTTTTTAGATTATATTCTGTAGACTATTCTGTTTAATCAGTGGTACGTCACAACTTAAACCTCACTTCTTGTTATTTCTCTTTTGAGGGTAAGCCAAAGTGACACATTTGAAAGGCCCGTGCGCCTGCGCAGGTACCTAATGGGCTTAGTGATGCGACGCTCCTTACCAAGTTTTTTGTGCTTCCCCTTTGTACCAACCTGTGGCCGTAGCTCGCAATACATCATTGTCAACGACATAGCCATCTACCTTTTGTTCTTGCTTAAAAATTAGAATAACAATAAACATAATATAAGGAGAAAACGGGACTTCGGCTCGCCCTTGTCCCCTTGTAAGTTTGAAAGTTCTCTCATTCATTATACAATTTTATCAAAGATCCAGCGAATAAATTTCGATGCGCTATGCTATCGAAAATTATGTTCAAATGTTGAAAATTAAACAAACACGCTCGTAAGGTGCGGCTTTGTAATTTGTTATGAAACATTATTTATCGGGGACATTAAAATTAACATATCTCACATCTTTATATTTTATCTTGTTAAATTTCCATCGAACGGGTGAGCGCGGCGTATCGGCCGACCATCTCACGGGCTGTATAGTGGCTAATTTATTTTAGATGACATTTATGGACACGCTATGGAGTAAAGCCAATAACCTAACGCCTAAAATGTGTATTCCGACACGACGTCTCGAATATATTAATAAATTCATTAGAAAATATGGAAATTCATAGCGAAATATTTTGATTGCATTTAGTAGTTATAATATGTTGCTTTTATAATAGAGGAGTTAGGTTAAATGATCGAAACCTCAGTTTATTCTATTTTTACAAAAAAGAGACTACTTATTAAAATTATTTTATTTATAAGTTTATACTATACCTAAATAGTGACACAATAAATATTAATACACATTTAACATTACTTTATTTTTAATTAATACATATATAAATGAGTTTTGTTTCCAAGACATTATGTGCATGTGTAAGATAACAAAACAAAATCTTAAAAAAATCTATTATAGTTATTGAATTGTTTTGTCTCCTTTTTTTGCACTAAATTCTCAGTTTGAATGTGTAATAGTTAAAGTAGGTTTGTTGGAGGTTTTAGTTTTTATGAATAAGGGGGTTAGATTATAAAGTTATAGTACGTTATATCACGTCTATGTAAAAATATAAAGGTTATGTGATTATTATTAGATATTAAGTTCATATATTTATTGGGCTTTATTTTGTAAAATATCGGTGATAGTGTCCTAAGCTAGTAGTAAGTAATGGCGAGGCGGTAACAGTCGACAACATGGTTTATGGTGCAGCACTATCGTTCATCTCAGTTCTTACGAGCAGGACGCTGCTCAAGCTTAGTAGAAAATAGTTGGAATTCGATAAATTGTGGTTAATCATTAGCTATATATTGACTTTGTGTGGTTAGTATGCAGCTACTCTTTTTGAGTTATATTTGTTATGGGGACCATATTTTTTTTTGTTATGTATATTGTCAATTCAGGTCATAGTTATCTAAACTAAAATATATATACATATATATATATATATATATATGTATATATATATATATATATATATATATATATATATATATATATATATATATATATATATATATATATATATATATAGAAAAAAATATTGTTTTTTAATGAATTATGTAATTATAAAATACTACAAGTATTTTTATATTATATATTATTTTATTTTAATACAAGACCTTATATTTTCTACATATTGCCACGATTATAATATAATTATGTTTTGATAAAATATCGTTTTTTTATTGCATTTGAATTGTATACTAAGTACAAGTTACAAATTTGCAAGTCTTATACGAAGGTGCGCGAGTGCATTGTTCCTCTAACAAACAGCGTAGGCGCGAAACAATGATTTCTTGATCTATCCAGATAAATTATAATTTATCCCTTCTTTGCATAATGGTGGAAATTTACATCATAACATTGAATGCCTAAAATTATCAAAAAAATATTATAAAAGACCAAGTTCACTTTAAGTTGATCGTGTCTGGATACCTTTTTAATGTCCATTGCAGAAAAAAAAAACATAGGTGTCAAATTTATTTTTTTAACCATTTTTCCTTTAATTTTTAACATGACCACCTTGAATAATTTCACCAATAAATAAAATCATG